GAAAACAATTGAATACGTCAATCAATCCTAATTTATGTCATATACTAACATACCAAATCTCGTTTTTTTAACTAAAAAAATAAAAAAGTTAGAGGTGTGAGCCACTTTTGAGACTCACCCGGAGTAGTACATTATTTATTATATTCCAATAAGGCAAAATAAAACCAGTAGGGAAAAAATATTAAGATATAAAAATTAATAACGAAAAATAATTAAGGAATCAAAATTCGCTAGTTCATTTGTAAATTTTACTTAATTCGAGAAGATTATTATTATCTTTTCTTGCTGAGCAAATTATAAAATTGAATAGTAAATTAGGAATCATCTGGGGGTCTGTATAAAATATCATTTATTAATATAGATAACAAATATAGACAATTAACAAATGAGACACCGAAATGGGTACTACTGAATATCAAGTGAACTATAAAGTATTTGGAATGTAGAATGTATAATGGTATAGGAGGGAGATTAATCACCGCGATCTTACAAATTTATTGTATCCTGCTTTTTTGAGTTATAACTCATCATACATTTTTAGGGCTTTGATAAAACCTATCATCTGGAACGGTTTTACAGAGGCCAGTTCTCTATCTCCAATATCAGTCGTACCAAAGTTTATAGTAGGAATTGTTGTCGTCTCAGCGCACTCAGCGATGATGTGTTCTAGTTGTCCCCCAGAATCTGCATTCGCCGTTGTTTTTTAGCTTCAATCTACTCAGAAGTTGAGGTCTTACTTAAATCAAGGAAATTTTTTTATTTTTCTCGATCGTATTTTTTATAAAGTAGTTATTAGCATTTAACAAAAATTACACTGCGTTAAAATTTATTTTATATTTTTGCTTTAAGTCAACATTAATTAGGGTATATTTTTAAATCACCTTAAATTAAAAATAATTAATATTAAAACACACAAAGAACAAACATTTTATATGTTTTTTCATGAGTTAAATCATCAAGAAATACAAATAGAGCAAAAATATTGAAGTGTCATAGAAAGCAATATTTTTATTTATATAGAGTAACGTTTTTAAAGTATTTTTTTTTACTTTTCTTGATAGAATTTTCTGCAATACTTACAAATATTGCGCACTTGCACGAAAATAAGTAACAATAACATAGATGTAATATAATTAGATTTAGATAAAAATAAAATTTGGAAAGTATGTTTGATCTATTTTCGTCATAAATAATTTTTTATATAAGATGAATATGATATGAAGAAAAATATAGATAATAATTTCAAATAGCCGTTATTGTTTTGTTTTCATACTCATTATATATCAGATATAATGTCAAAGTCCTAATATCAGTATCAGTAAATCCAATCTATTTTTACTATGTAATTTATTAATAGTATTAATCCTGTAATAATGTATTAAAGGATTAATTCTGTATAGTCATCTCTACTAAAGGATAAAATTGCAATTTAAATTAATGTTCACTTAAATAAATATACCCACCTTCAGATTCCAATCTCATATTACTATTTTTGACCTTTTAAATGCATAAAGTAGATTACTAATGCATGTAATCGGATTTCCATTCAACGCTTTAGCTTTAGCATGAGAGCAGATTTGGATTTTTGCATTTTACCTTTTTTATACTACTGAGCGATTCGCAGTTTTTTAATTAGTTTTATCTTGTCTTTTTCATCTCGTGTTACAGGCACATTAGTCTCTTTTGAATATATTGTTCATACAAATCATTGGATCAGATAACCAATCTCACAAGTGTAAAACATTACTCATTAATAAAAGTGTTAATTTGCGATACATACAGAAAATGACTAAAGCGCCATACTTACTATGCGCTGATGCGTCGATGCCATTCGTTATGTTGTTTCTAAATTTTTCTATGCGTTTGTGATATTTTTCTTATGTTTACTCAAAACCCAACATTCAAACGATCCGCCGCACAACGCATCGCATTGTAGCATCAAATCGCCCCATCAACTAATATGACTATGTTGACTATAGGATTACGAGACGTATTGACGAACCGCATAGCCAAAAATTGATTTTGCTCAGGTATCTCCTGAGACGGTACTGAAGATAACAATTTTATTTTATGCTTAAATTTGGCCATTATTACTAAAAATATACTCACAAGTTTGAAGTAAGTCGGTCACAGGATATTTAAGATAATTCCAAAAAAAAAACAAAAGTTAAAACGTTGTTTAGAAGTTAAACGACCTTTATCTTTAAAATAGGCTCAATTAAAATAAAAAAACAGCCCACAGCCAATGGTCATATTTTATGAAACAGCCTGTATAAATTTATAAAAAATCTTAAAATATGTAAAACAACAAAATAAAATATACGTATTTAAGAGTTTTTCCGAAAAACTCATCGGTTTTTAAATAGAAAATATTTTAATATTTGAGGGATAGTTTCACCCCTTAGAATTCGAGTTTCCCGAAAAAATCCCTTCTTATCGAACCTCTACACCCTAAAAGTCAATCTGTTTCCAAAAATCAGCTTTTTTACGTCAAGCGCTTTAAGCAGAATCGTGATTAATCAATGACCAGATTTTTCGAAACACCCTGTATACATTTTTTAAAAATCTTAAAATATGTAAAAAAACAAAATAAAATATACGTGTTTAAGAGTTTTTTCGGAAACTTGACCGTTCTTTGAGGGGTGGTTTCATCCTCTTGGAACTGGAATTTCGAAATATCGCCTCTTATCGAACCTCTACACCCTAGAACCAACCTGTATTTATGTATAAAATTGAACTTCTTACGTTGAGTGGTTTGAGCAGGATCGTGATTAATCAGTATGTCAGTCACTAAAGGATTTTATATATTAGTATAGATAAAAAAAGTTAACATAAAACTGATGCACAAACTGTACAAACTATACAAAAGTTTGGAATTCCTCTGTTCTAAGAAAAAATATACCGAGCCTGTTTTAAAATGTCAAATTATCTTGGGATTTCAAAATGGTGCGTTAATTTTTTGGAGAAATGTATTTACCTAATACAGCCTCTCAAATGGTATCATTCAAATTCGGCTATAAATAGTAGCTCCTGTGTTAAAAACTAATGACGCGTACATAAAAATGGTGGACTATGGCTCTGTAGAGGGTATGTAGAATGTAGAATGTTTAGGAGGGGGGTTAATCACCGCGACATTACATATCTACTGTTGTGCCTCTTTCTTGAGTTATAACGAGTTACAACTCACCGGACAGTCTCAGGGTTTTGACAAAAAGCTGGTTATCTGAGACGGCTTCACAAAGCTGCAGCTTTCCGTCCTCGACATCAGCCGTATCAAAAATTCATGGCACGAACGGTCGTCCGTCGTGTCGGCACACTCAGTGATAAGGTATTCTGGTGTTTCCCCATTTCCACCACAGAGATCTGCATTCGCCGTTGTTTCTCAATTTCAATCTGCTAAGTTGTTCGTTGAGGAGACAGTGTCCTGTTAGAAACCCTGTGACAATCCGAAGATTTTCTTACGCCTTTGGCTCAAGGAAAAATCTTTGATTCTCTTCTGTCGTAAGTTCACGAGCAACTTTTTTCGAGTGATTAGACCGTTGGAGAATTCCCTTTCAGGTTACGGATGGAGTCCTCCAGGTTCTTCAGTTCCGCTTTAAGCTGGTTTCCGCTTAGATAAAGATACAGGATTGGATTAGATAGAGGGTTGTAAAAAAATGAAGGAATGTCATTTTTATTATCAACAATAACTATATCACTAATTTGAACAAAAAATATCATAAATATAAATTAAAAACTTTCCCACCTTAATTGTCTTTATTACTATCGGTATTCTAGCAAATTTAATACAATAAATATTCACTTAAATGCAGCAATCGTCTATATGACTTCGGGGTTGGACTCGAGAACTAGACGCCACAAAGTAATTTCAGGAACAGAGCAAAGCGAGTTAAAAACAATCCGAAAGAATTGCGTTAAACCCGCGCACTTATTTACATAGCCCTTTGAAGCATTTAGTAGTGAATAATAGCAAGGTGCTTAGCTTTAAAGCGGAATTTCAATTCTGTTTTACATCGACTTTTCTTTCAGTACTTTCTACGAAATGGAATTTTTCTCGTTTTAGTTTCGCGAAGTTCAAAGGTGAATTTATACTTATCGCAAATGCCAAGATACGCTAACAAATTTTTTTTTTTAAATTTATACATATGATATTTTTAACAACGTAGGTTCCCCTATGATGATCATGGCATACATTTCTATATTTTTATTATTTTTAAAGTTTTCTAAAACTAATAAAATAGGTACAATTTTATGTAAAAAAATATCCTCATACTGGGTGCGTCTCAAAAGTGGCTCACCCCTGTAACTTTTATTTTTTACTTAAAAAACGAGATTTGGTATGTTAATATATGACTGTTGTCATTTCCTGTTTCACCGGAAATGACTACAACTTTTGATTTTCAGTAAAATTTATTTCTTCGGGTTAAAAGTCAGCACAAGAAATAATTCTGAATACCAATGTACAGGGTGTTGACAATCTCTTTTATTATAATAATAAGGATAAAATATTTAAATATGCATGCATTTGAATATCTGAAAAACCAAGGCTTGTAAACATATTTAAACCTTATAATAAATGCTGTATTTTGTGTCCAAGGAGCCAAATATGAAAAAATCTAACTTATTATTGTGTTATTTCGCTTTAAAAATTAAATATTAATTTTTATTTCTAGAAAACTGAGATACAAAACTATAATTCCACTCAATGGACACGTTTTATTTTTGTAAAATAACGCTTCAAACATTTACTGGAACAGTTTTTTTTGCAACTTGACGCCAATAAATATTTCATAAATTAAGACTTGATAAGAAAGATATATGTTTGGATGCAAAATGTTTATATATTAGTTTTTTTTTTTAATTTCTCTCCGGAATCTCTAGAAATAGGACACTTGATGAACATGAATTTGTATTTTCATATATGTAACAAAATGGAACAACAATTTAAAAAAAAAATGGTTACTTTTTTATTAATTTTGACAATTTATAATTTGTTACAGGTTGAGATGTTGTACCAAAGATATTTTCTGAAAATGAACCAAAGCAATATGACAAATTTGATATCGCTACTTCTGTTACTATGCATCGGTTTCCTGTTGCTGGGGGCTGTAGATTTTATTCTTCCGAAAGCCGAAGTAGCTCACTCTATATTTGAAGACTCGAGTCGAATGGACAAGCTGGTCGTACTTATGTGTACATCGGCATGTTGTATAGCTATTTATGGCGGTAAGTATCTTACTTGAAATATTAACGAGTGAAGTTATATTTTTTTTAAAGATTACGATTTTTTATGTAACATCAGCAATCAAAATAATATAATCAAAAAAGTGGTTTTGTTTGAAAAATATAATATTTACATTTCCAAATTTTCAGAAATTTCAATTTGGTAAATTACTAAAAATTATTAAGAAAAATTATCAAAAAAAATGTAGTCATTTATAGAACTCACTATATCACAATAATCGATATATCAGATTTTATATTTCAAAGTTAGAACCTGTAAAGTCTTTCATCTTGCAAATTCAATTATTGGCAGCTCATGAAAATGTAGCTTCATCTTCCAAAATTATTTGGGTTTCGAGATATACATATTCATAATTAGTGAAATGACCTCATCAATAGAAAGTGGTCCAGGTATATGAGTCAATAATAGTAATTAAATAGTGTACTTTTTTTTCTAAATTGTATTCTGCCTTTTTTAACTTTATTTTATGTGACCCCTGACTTTTTATTTTAAATTTTAACTGTTTTGTGATTTAATGTATCATAAGTTTATTAATAATTTTTATATATAGAATTTCTGTTAATACATACCGGGTGTTCTCAAAACTTGCTGAGCTATATAACTTTTCCAATTTTAGATAAAAGAAACGAGATTTGGTATGTTAGAATATGATAAAAATTAGTAGTAATTAGTATTATTCAGTAAGAGTCGGTCCCAAGTGGGACCCTTTGGGACCCTCCACTTCGACCGCGAGGGCTTATTGTGGCTCATTGATTGACGTATTTAATTGTTTTTGTCAGTTCCTGTTTCACCGGAAATGACAAATTTTGATTTTTAAATGACACCCTGGGTATTTTGAAATAACATTCTGAACAGAATGACATATCATATATCAACTTTTGACATTTTCAATAATAAAAAAAACATTTTAAATTTCAATTCAGAGTGCCAAGGCCAAATGTAACGACAATTTGGTTGCTATGCTAATGAGCCACCCCTGTTCTCTTTGGTAAAATTTAGTTATGATTAAAAATACGATTTCAGTAACTTTTAACCGGCTAGGAAAAGACACTAAAAATATTAGACGATCAAATATTTTAACCAAGGTTCTTGATTAAAAATTAGTATTTTAACACAAGCGAGAATGTCAGTATTTGACATATGATATGCCGTTCTATTCAGAGTGTCATTTTCTACTGAATAAAGTAAAAAACTACAGGGGGTGCCATTTAAAATAAAACTTGTAGTCATTTCCGGTGAAACAGGAAGTGATAGAAAACAAATTGGATACGTCAATCAATCCTGATTTATGTCATACACTAACGTACCAAATCTCGTTTATTTATCTGAAAAAATAAAAAATTTATAGGGGATGAGCCACTTTTGAGAAAAAAACTCTGTATAGCAAACCAGTACAGGGAGACCTGTATTTGCTTACTATATTATTATATATTAATAGAAATTAATTCACATTTATAATTTATCTTAAATTAATTAAACACGAAGTAATAAAACGATAGTCAGCAAATTTTTATACCCAAAAAAGTTATAATTAATATGTTATTTTATTTTCAGTTTTACTCACAGTGGTGTCAAAGCCTGCGATGAATGAAGTTTACCTGATCATTATATCTTATTTCATATTAGTGACTTTTTTAACTTTAGAGGTAAGTCTATCTTCTTTATTTTTTTGATAATACCTCGCGATAAATTAGTATCTATATATTTAATTATTTCGGTTTTAAATTCAGTTGAAATAGTGGTAACATTTTTCTTATATTCTAATATTTCTAATATTCTTTTTTTTTCTAAGTACACTTCTGTGGTAGTGTCAAATCGCTGAGTTAAGAATCCTAATTCAAAAGCTTTAAGAATCACAAAGAGTGGAATTCTTATTTTAGTACACTTTTCAGTGTACTAAAGTAGTAATCTTTTCAGATTAGTATCGTATCTTACGATAGAATAATTTGATAAAAAATATATCAAATAAAATCTCACTCAAGTGCTTTTTAAATGAGTTTGTATTTAAGTGTTATATTTTTGTACATGTTGTTCCATTTTTGTGTGTTTCTTTTTCGTGAGAGTTTGTCGTTTACGAGTAAAGATACAAAGGTGTGGTTTTCACATCACTCTGTTACTGTTTTATGGAACTAAATATGCTACACATAGATTTGTCCCTCTTACTCTCTGACATACAGTTTAACACATATTTTGAAAATAGCTCCCAGCGAAAAACTAGTTACGCCTCGGAAGTTTTTACCTTTTCAATCAGTTATATGAAGGTGTCGAAATACAAAGAGTGTCAAAATATGCAAATTTTTCAAATTCGCCCTGTATTTCAGGAACTAAGAGGGCTAGGATAAATATATGTGTAGCATCTTTAAATTCGTAAAAAAGTAGCACAATGATGTAAAAACGGCATCTTTGTATCTTTACTCATAAACGAGAAACCCTGTAAAACACACGAAATGGGACACCCTGTACAAAATGTTTCTATCTCTATAAAATCACTGCGAGACCATTGATATCATCAAAAATTCAAACTATAATAAACAGTAGTAACATCTGACTTACATTGATGATGAAAGAATAATTCTCGGAGTCCAATTTGTGCTCTAAATTCAGTTTGTATCGTCACAAAAGTAAAACACCGCTATGATGTGTTTTATCCTGATCGTAATTATTCACCCATTCAATCGGCTTTTACTTAATACAAACCAAACTACACATCTGCATTTCAAACACTACACTGGAGTAAATTGTTGATTAGAAACTGTGTATTTAGTTAGAAGGTGTGTGCACCGGCCTCCATCAGTATTCATAGCGAATTAAACGCAAAACATAGCAAATAATCTTCTTTGGTAAAACTTTCGCCCAAAGCTTTAAACTCTTCCGTTATAGTTTCGTAGCTTTTATCTCGATTTGCAAAAACAAATGCATCGTTGCCATTCAAAATAATTCTATTTTCGTTGCATATTTACGCCACTACGGTTGCAATTTTAATGCTACATTTTTTTACAGTTCAAACTGGATGTTTATATTTATTTTAAACAATAGCGGAGAGTTTTACGTATGATTTAAATGCGAGCAAATTCCGCCTAGTGTTATGAAACTTTTAGAAAAATAATACATGTAAACTTTGTTTAAAAGCTTCAAAAAAAGTTGTAGAATTTTTTGCAGGATCTAAAAATAAAATAAAAAAAAGGATGTTCACCCTGTATACATTTATCCTGAATACATTTATTTACCAATGGATATTGATTTCGGATTTAATTATATAAATAATAATCATAGAAATTAAATATGAAGATCTAATCAAGGACGATGCTTCTTCTAATCTAATCAAGGACGATGCATCTAATCAGACTATCTTCAAATAATCAAAATTATAGTTTTTCCAAAAACTATATAGATAACCAAAACTAAATACTTTGAATTCTTTACGCGCATTTCGCTAATTTTCTTACCAGTATCAATAAATGATTGAAAAAAAATGGGGTCACATACCTGTCAATTGCTAGAACTAACTAGATAGTTAATAGTAATTTAAAGACGGCTTCTTCTAAAAGAGACCTGGTTTAAATTAAAAAGAAGTAGAAAGTACATTTTGAGTACTAGAGTAGACTTTGAGTCTTTTTTCTACTTCTTTTTAGTTAATAGTAATTGTTGATCTAGAACATAATACAAATGTTATATGGAATATTGTCTAGCCTTAACTTAGAAAGTGCATGAACACAAAAATAATATAATATATTTATTTTTCAGGTTTGCATAGCTTTTTTCTTCTACAACGAGAGACCACTAGTTGGTACCGCCTTTGCGGTGACGTCAACCTATTTGACGTATGCGCTGATGCCAAACCGTCTGAAAGATGCCGTGCTCTCCGGAACAATATTAGCCATAACTGAACTGATCTTATTAGTATATGTAGGAAATCTGACAAGTTTTTCAGATGTAAGTAGCAAATTATTAAGGATTTTTTTGGGGGGAAAAATTAAATATTTTGTTTATCTAGGGTTTAAAAAAACTGCCGACATTTTGACTTGTATTCTCGACTTTTTCAAGACTATTTAAGACCACAAAGACGAGGATACACATCGAAAGGCTTTTTAAAAAAGCTTTTATATTTCCTGATCCTAAACCTGCGATCGCCATTTCATAATATAACGTAAGGACGCAAATCTAACACAATATTATATTGAAAGGTTCTAACCTCACTAACACATATTCTTAAATGAATTTATTCCATAATTAACAATATGACAATCAAACTCAGACATATTATGATAAAAAAAAATTGTAAAAAGAGAAAATATTATAAACCAAAAAACTACGATTTGCCTTCAATTTTGCGCTGCATTGCCTTTAAATTTAGTATAGAGGGTGATTCACACTGAGGTAGACTAGGCGTTTTTAGAGAACAGGTGATACTTTCTTTGAAAACTTCAAATTTTATATATAAGCACCTGCTACATCTATCTAAATAATTCTCAGCGACACAGTGTTGCTGTTTCATTTATTAATTATTATCATTTATTAAAAGTAATGACACCTTTATTTTTTTAAGCGGAACATCTAGATTGTTATATTCTTGGAAACTTATTTATTTGCCATATTTTTTCTGTCATACAATCCTATACCCCTGTCTAATAGTTTTCGAGATAAAAAAAATACAGCATGTGTAAAACTGACAGACTTATAGGTTAAGAAAAGTTTCGATATTGGATCTGTTTGAAGCAACCCATTGACACTGAAAACTATGAAAAGACTAATAAAGTTGATTTGCAATGATATATCATTTTCCTATACCTAAGCGCTCCGGTTTCTTCAGAAAAGTCATTTAAAAGATAATAATTTCTAATATATTCATACTCTATATCAGTGAGATTTTATTTGCTAAATTTACAAAAGTCATAACAAAATTCTTGAAATGAAACTAAAATTTTAGTATTTTTAGTTTTAAAAGGCTCTACTGAAGAAACTCGAAGGTTCAAATTTAGGTACATTACATACCGTTAAAAATAACTTTACATTCCTTTGATCTGTTTAAATAATATATTTAGAGTTCGATTTAAAATAAAGATGATTTGAGCAATTTCATCCTAAACGAAAAAAGTAATATTTTTACCTAATTGTTATGACATGATGTTTGATTTAAAATAACAAAGATACTACTACTTTTCAAATAAAGCGACAACACCGCCCTGTTACTCTGAGAATATATTAGATTGGTGGAGCAGACGCCGCGCCGTTCCGTAAAATTTGAAAATTTTCCGTAAAAAATATCCTACCATCGATTCTCCATGATCAGCTAACTTATCTGCGACAGTAAATCGTAAATCACCTATTACTATATTCACTTAACTTTAGCTAAACTAAATACATATAGTATAAACGTCCGCCGTATTCTTTAAAAAAAATATTCATTCTTGTCATTTTTTCTTTCAGATAATCAGCAACTTTATAATACTGTTCTGTGCCAACTTGGCCGGGGTCTGCACGCATTATCCCAGAGAAGTAGCGCAAAGAAAAGCTTTCCTCGAAACGAGACAATGTATAGAAGCCAGACTGAAAATTCAACGGGAAAATCAACAGCAGGTTACATTTTTTATACGTATTTTTTTAATTTTCCTATTTTAAAGCTCGGCACAACGGTCGGTCGGTCGTTCCGTTATTTTAGAGCTTTCCTTTTTTTTTATTTATTCTTTCAGTCTTTTCTCTTTGCGAAATATAATTAGACGATGTTTTCTTTGTGAAAATGCTACCTACCGACACGCCGCAAAGCAAAGAATAAAATTTTACATTACCAATAGAGTATTCCCGGTTGACAATGCTTGCTTAATTTATGCTTTTACGATAGTCATTAGATTGAAATATTAACCGTATTTTTACAGTATGGCATTGAAGGTTTTACAGAACTGAATAATGTTTGGAAGGAACAGGAGAAATTGGTTTTATTTAGAAGGTGATTGTTGTCGGAGTCAAGGTCCTCATTAAAAATATACAATGATAATAAAATATAATTAGCATTACAGTTTTTTACTGGAAATATCCCTAATAGAGCAAACATAAAATTAGTTTCTTATACATAATGTCTCATCGAGAACTACATTGTTTTATATATTAAAAAGGTAATTTTGTAGTCTGAAAACTTGTAGTAAAATAACTCGGTTATTTTGAAGTTATTTGAAAAACGGTAAAGAGAAAATATGTGTTTTATTTATGGAGATTTACAAGCACTGGAAATATTTCAACTTATTTAAGACTGACCCTGTGTTGCTTACTTTAAATTTTCTATAAAAAATACCTAAAATCAACTAATAACACAAAATAGCTAAACATGCATTCAAAGCAATGAAAATATAATCAAAAACAGAGAACTGAAAATATAAAATTTTCAAAAAACCTAGGAGAAATGTTCGCTTTTCTATTAAAATGCTCTTTGAAACAAGCATTGAACTAACACAATCGATGGCATAGTAAAACGAATTATCGTAGTGCGAAATTGATGCGAAAACTAACAAGCAAACGCATTATGAGGACTGTTTTATGCTCTATATAATATATTAGCATCACTAATTTCATGTTGAACTTATAATTATTGTCCGTCGATAACATTTACCAATAGGTTAACTCCAATAGACACCTACGATTTAAAAAAAATATTGGAACTTTTTACTATACAAACATATTATGTTTCTCTACACATCACACACTCATTATTTTAAAAATGGCAGCACAGCAGTCTTATTTTTTAAGTCTTTTTTAATACCGGGTGGTCTCAATACCCTATAATTAAACTCTAAAATAATATAACACCCTCTTTTTTATTTTTTTAGTTAAAAAAATGAGATTTGGTATGTCAGTATATGACATAAATTAAGATTGATTGACGTATTCAATTGTTTTCGGTCACTTCCTGTTTCACCGGAAATGACTACAACTTTTGATTTTTAAATAGCACCCTCGGTATTTTCTTGCTTTATTCGATAGAAAATAACACTCAGAATAGAATGACATATCATATGTCAACTTTTGACATCTTCGCATTTGGTTTATATGAAATTATAACTTGCGGTTCGTAACGAAAATTGACTCGAAATACCAAGTGTGTGGGATCAAATTATTCCTAAAAAGTATCAGCCACCCTCGTTCCTTTTGAAAAAATAGAGATATGTTTAAAAATACAATTTCAGTATTTTCTAACTGACCAGGACAAGACACTAAAAACATCAACCAAGGCTCCTTGATTAAGAATTAGTGTTTTTAAGAGTTTTTAAGATGGCACTCTAGATTGAATTTTAAAGTTGACATATGATATGTCATTCTGTTCAGAATATCATTTTCTATACAATAAAGTAAAAAAATACCGAGGGTGTCGTTTAAAAATCAAAAGTTGTAGATATTTCCGGTAAATCAGGAAGTGACCAAAAAAATTGAATATATCAATCAATCCTTATTTATATCATATACTAACATACCAAATCTCGTTTTTTATCTGAAAAAATAAAAAAGTTATAGAGGCCACTTTTGAAACGCACCCGGTATATTTAGTATTTCTGTTATTTTATTTTCTTATTAATTTCTACTAATTATTATTACTTACGTTCTTACTAATTTTTAATTCTCAATTTTAGTACTTTTAACGGTTTACACCACAATCACGATAATACTGTGTGAATGAAAACACTGTGTAACAGATAGAAAAAGATATTTCTGCAATATTTCTACCGATAATAAAAAATAACATTCTGAAAATTATCTAAAAATAAATCGAAACGTCGATCTAAAATCACTTTTTAATTAAACCTGGCTCAGGAAACAAAAAAAATATTAATGAAAATTTATAATTATCTTTGTTATTTTCCAGGATATTTTTTCGAATATTTAACTAACAAAATTCAATAGATTCTCAAAAAAGCCCTGTGCTAAAACTTTTATTGAAAAATAAAATTTACGCTATTGAAAATAAGTGAAAAAATCATCAGTTTAAACGCAAATTTTACAGAAAAACAGAGAGAAGTTTTTGAAAGTTTTGAATTTGAATCAGAAATTTGAAATTTGTTCCATAAATAAAAAGAGTTTTGAGTTAATAACAAATTAATGTATTCTACAGGTGGTTAAAAACGTTGCATTAACAAAATATTTTATTTTAAACAATTATATGCCTTTATACCTTAATAATCTTTAAATAGATAAATAGAAAGAGAATTTATTGGAGAAATACATTAATTAGATCAAATAGATCTTCTAATCAGATTGGTTCGTGTACGCGTTACGGCATCTAAATCTGCCAGTTTGAGAGCAAATAGATAGGTCAGCAATTTATTAATAGATCAGCCTATTCACCACATTCTCTGATGGCAGTTAATATACAGGGTGTCTCGGAAATAAGTGCAAATATTTTAAGGAGTGGTAGATCTCGATAAAAGAAACATATTTTCTCTTTAAAAATGGTTTTTCAAATAAGTCCAAAATAACGGAGTCATTTTACTTTGAAAATTTCCAAAAAAAAATATTTTTTGCTAATATTTTGAGAACCACTGGATCTTTTCCGGATTTTCTTTCTTGTAAATTTAATCTAATACCTATGTTTTCATATTATCAAGAAATTATGTTTTTTAACTAAAAACTAAAAAAAATTCAAAAAATTTCGAATTTTCAAAAAAAAATTTTTCGCGAAAAAAACCTCATAGGCGTGTTTCTGGGGTTGAACTATACTACCAGTTAAAATATTTGCACTTATTTCTGGGACACCCTGTATAATTCAAGTAAACTTGATATTTGGTAATCTGGACCATCTAGTTTTTAAACGTATACAACAGCTGTTATATTTAACAGTAAATAAACACACTTTTGTTTTAAATTGAATCAAACTATATTTCTTAATCATACCTTTTGTCTTCGAGGTATTGCATTACAGTCTATAAAAATTATTTATTTCAGGTATAGGAACGTGTATACTCAAAAAGTAACGAATTAAAAACCGCTTTTACTAGTGAAATAAAAAAGTGGGTTTCCATTTAAAAAAATGATTTATGATAATTTCTTATTATATATTTCAATTCCATGACAGCTACGGCCAATATTATATGACATTCAAACAATTTAATTTTTGAAATAGATAGCCACATGTCTTCTCTTTATGTCACATTGGCTGTGGTAATCACTAAATTGGACGTTTAAACTATACAATTTTTTTTCACAGTTTGTTTCCTCCAAAAATGTTATTTTTTTTTCCAAAAACGGTTAATGTTAGGTATAGAGTTTTGATATCATAAGTCATAAGTCACATAAAATTTTACAGAGAATTTAAGTTTGTAAAAAAAAATATTTAAGGAGGTACCTATTTATAATATGAAAGTTGCTATCAACTTCCGGCCGCCATATTGAAAATATT